CTTTTCTTGTTACATTACATAAAACACAAAAACAATTTGTCAAAATGAAAAATTACACAGAAAAAAACTATATAAAACAAATGATACCCAAAAATAATTTTTAGATTTTACAGCACCAAATTTTCTGATTAGAGTACAAAAACAAAGGTCAAACAGTTATTCTGACACGATGACAATTAATCAGACGGGAAAACTACCATATGTTTTTAAAAGAGAAGTTTTTGTACAGACATACAGAAAAAAATATTCCCCTACATTTTAACATCACTTATTTAACATTCTGATTATTATTACTGAAAATTTTAGTGCTGTTTACCAGATTATGTGAGCAACAATTGCTCCAGTTCCTCAAAACTAACAAATAAAATATGTGAAGGAAAACGATAACAAATATATATAAGGAATCACAACAGCAACAGCTTCTCGACAGTCTTAGTTGCACGTGACTACTACAGCAACATTTATCGCGAGAATATTGACATTAATTACTGGATCAGACGTATCAGAAACTTAATAATACGATATAATAATAGACAAAAACTAGAGACTAGTCACTGGAACAGCTTAGCTTTCAAAACAAAAACTCATCGGCCATGAAGTCCTTCAACAGCAACCCTGTTGTTAAGTAAAGCTAAAAATGCGATATTTCGCATTGTTTTCTGTTCAGTAAAGCTCCAAATGACCTTTGCCAACTTTTTTTCAAGCCTTTAAAACGTCCACTTTCCTGCGAAATTGTTGAATCACTATGCTAAAAATTACTTTTTTAAGTATTTAAAAACGATTATAATCAAATAAAATTGAACAATTTATACTAATAACAAACGAAAAAATTGCTCTTCAAACCCTGTCGGCTTCTAAATTGCCTTTTCCATGAGCAACAAAATTGTAAAATTTAGACAGTTACCTGAAAACCACGTCTGCGGGGTTTCTCCGATTGTGGTTCTTGGCAACTTTTCGAGTCATTTTCTTCTGAAAGATGTACAAGGGCATTTTCGTTTTCAAACCACTTAATGCCAAAGTAACCTGATGAATGGCGTGACATGATAAATCAAAATAGATAGGGTGGCAGATTGAGACTTACTAAAACTTTCACTTTTTGTCGGCGACTCTTGAGAATCTCTGACCAGCGAGTTTGTTACGTAATGTGGTTCAGTCACTGGAATCATATCCTGTAAAAAATTTCCAAAAGTATATCCACTACTCTTTCATCAGAAATTAACCGAAAACGATTGAACTAAATTTACCTTGAAAAGATTCTGCAGGGGTGTTCGGTTCCTTCTCCGACCGGATGGTGCAGTTTGATTTATCTTAGATGGCGTAGAAAATGAAACGATTGTTGAAGGTTCTGGCAAATTACGATGTGGACTGCAGTTATATGTGCCCGTAAGCGCTCCAACTGTATGATTTGGTAAGGCACCTTCAATATATAAATCGCCTCCGTTAATTAAATCTCAAGAATTAATAGATAAAACCGTCAAAAGAGGTCAGTAGATTTCAAAATTGACTCATGAAACTAATGAACAAACCACTAATTTGAATTTCATCATACAGTCTTCTGCCACTAGTTCTTCCTGCAGTCGGTAAATCAAGCTTTCTGGCTTCACTGGTCAATTTTACTGACATTACAGCAAATTCACGCCAAAATTCTAAAGGAAAATATAGATGGTCAGTAGTTTAATTATTTGGGAACCAGTTTTGGTTAGAAAAAGTGATAAATTTTAAGTAGATTAGAAAATGCAAAAGTAAAAACGTACTACAGTCAGCAATTTGAAGCTCAAAAGCATGCTCCCATAAAGCAATAGATTCTTCACTTTCTGCTGTAATCAAATAATCTTGATCATTCTGATTACTGTCGGGTTGAAGTATTAAGCTTTTCTGTTTGTTCATTAGCTGTATTTTCGAATCCTGAAGAAATTATTTCATCTTTTTTACTTACTAAAACGAAGGACTTGATTTACTTATATATTTAGCAAAACTGTGGGGCTACTAAATGCACAACAACTGTACCTTCGACAACGAAATGCGTAACAAAACTTGTTCAGAATTACCGCTTACAATTGAACATCGTAGTACACCGGCCTTAAACATATGAATTTCAGGTGTCTTTTAAAATATTCTAATTTTCGAGTCTCTGCATCAACAAGTCTTTAAGCAATAAAAATGTTAATGCTAAAAAGCTCACCTGCAGCTTACACCGTACATTGCGATAGATTCGATTGTCATTAACGGGCCGAATAGTTAAGATGCCATCAGATATCGGCATTACATTAGAGTTTGGTTGAGCGACAAATCTGCAGCATATATGCCCGTATAATGGAGGGCCAAAACTTTCAGCTGAAAACTATAGTTAAGCAAACCAACGGAGATAAGAATCAAATAAACAAAAAACTCTTATTATAACTAAATGTGGAGGTATCTAAAAAACAAACTTCAGAGGTTATGAACAAAAAAATTAAATACAATAACTGAATCCTCACCATTTGGAGAAACTTGCAGATCGTATATGCCTGTTTTTGGTTGTGCATCATTTATCCGCAGATACGTTCTCCCTAACAGGCGAAAACTGGAACCTCCAACGGTATCTGCGCAAACCAATGGTGATTCGAAACAAAGTTCTTCGTTGTTTAAGTTTGATTTCTAAAACTGTTGTTGTCATTTCAAATTTGAAAAAAGAAAAAACTTACTGCATAACACAGTTTCTGTTGTTAGTTTAACACAGTATAAACAAGAGGAACAAATTAGCAGAAAACTACGAAGTTCCATTTGCATTAGTCAACAGTTGAAAGCTAACAATTTGTGTTTCCAACAACCATAATACTGTTTAAAAATCAAACTAAAACATTGAAAATTATAAAGAAAAAAAAATACTGAAGAAGACTGTCGACTTTAAGACGCAGAAATAAATGTTAATAAAACACTAACATATGATGCGCCAAGTTTTCGACTAAGTGAACGAGCTAGTTTCTGCTTCAGCGACTGACTCCCATCTCCACCACTAGTTTTTGCTGAATATAAGGACAATTCGATTTCAAAATCTACTGGCTGATTTTCACTGCAATAAAAGAATAAGTTATAAACTTGCACAGTACTGCATAAAGTCTAAAATTCATTTTTCAAGCAGTTTGTTTGATACGTATAAAAAAGAGAAAACAGGAAGAAAAGGTAAAACAAAAATAAAAGCCTACAAAATGAAAGAATCTGGAAAATTAACATCTGTACAAGTACGATCTATAGCCGTCAATATTCGACTGTCAATAATCTCTGTTTTTGTTTGCAGTACAACAAACATTGAATACATTCGTCCATCTTGAAAAGGAAAAAATAATTTGAAAATATTACCGAGAAAAGTGAAAAAAAAAAAAGAAAGGAAAAAAAAATTTTAGGTAATCTGTTGGCAATAAAAATAAAAGAAAAAATAGAATAAAATAGAAAGAAGAAAAAACTGTTTATGTGATTCAATTAAATTAGATAGAAATATTTTCTTTAGTGTAAAATTTTACTCTTTTTTTTCGCAAATTATTACTTCAAATCATTAAAATAGCAGCAACAAATTACTGCTTTATACCTCCTCTGGCGTTGAAATGTTCATCACTGTTCCAAGCCAACGGTATTGACAAATGTGATAGACCAAGACGAGCTCGACTTGGATTACTTAGACAACGATTAGATCCAGCTGTTTCTGAATAGCTGAAAAATTGATACCATCCATGATGAAGCAACATACAGGTGAACAACTGCCTTCCCGGTTGACTACTGGGGGCAACAGCAGTAATAAACAGCCCCAAAAACGAATGTGTATAAAGCTGCTGTTCCAAAGAAAGAATTCAGTAAACTAGCAAATTATATGTACAGCAACGATGATCTGCTGATATTACAGAAGGTCAATTTATCGTCATATATTTGTTATAATAAACAAAATCAAAGAAAGAAAAGAGAAAAATAAATAAAAAATAAAATAAAAATACATTATGAATTTGAAAAAAAAAAGAACAAAATAAAATTCACTTTTTAATTTTAA